CAAAACTTGTCAGTTGTTTTTACAGAAATCATGGGAATTAAAGCTGAAGGCCTCTCATATCAGTTCTTTAATCTTTCATATAATATATATGACACTCAAATGTAATTAATGAAACTTCATAAAATCTGTCTCTGATACCTAGTCTAATATAATTTGCCTTTTCAATGATCTTTTTGTAAAATGTCAGTATCTCAATTTTATGAAAAATTTTACAATTTGTGATAAATCGTATCTGTGTTCACAGCACTTTTAGAGAATTAATTGAGAATCCTTGGAGCACTGATAGTCTAAAACTCATTAGGGCCACCTGCAGGATAAATGTGTAGACATGAATACCTCAAGATTAGCGCTGTATTCCTCTGCCTTTTTCCAAACACAACTCCTATAAGCTCGACATTGCCACTTACCCAGAACAGACTTAAGACTGGGAAATAGAAGTCCAGGAGACAAATCAACCACAGCGTTTTATTTCTAATTGTATAGCTTTTATTCTCCTGTCTTGAGCCTTTTCCTCACTCCTCCCCAATAACTAAACCAACCTATTGTATTTAACATACATAAGATACAAGATCAGTGTCCAGAATCTCTTAAGTACTATCTCTTTTGATAGTTGCAGGTACTCTCTTTCCCTCCAGCACTTTAATGCTTTCTAATGAATAATTTTTGAGATATTTTTCAGATGTTTGTGTGTGTACATATAGCTCACTTTCTACCTACTCAAGGTGTCTCAGGAGGTTAAAAAAAAGTAGAAAAGAAACCTTTCTGAATAGTTTGCCAAGTTTCTCAGCCCACTCTATTGCTAAGTGTTAACTTTATGAAGTCTATGAAGTCTTTCAGGAGAAATCTCCTTAGACTGGGGATATCTTCACCTTGTTTTGGCTCCTCTTAAGTTTAGAGTCAAATTTGTAGCCAACTCCCAATAATTTACAAAAACATGTAGTGTATATTCCTAAATTCCTGTTTTGCCCTGCAGGCTTCTTACCATGCTTATTTTATCTTCACCTGGAATTCCTCAACTTGTTTTATGTGTTTATTTATTATTATTGAGGCAAATACATATTTTAAGCTGCCTCAAATACTTCGTGGAACAATACAGGGATGAAAAGAGTAACTGAAGAATATCAAGAAGGAAGGAAGACAAGAATACAAAAAGGAAGAGGAGGAGGAAGGAAGGGAGGGAGAGGGAAGAAAAAAAGGAAGAAAGCAAAGAAAAAACTAAAGTCTTTGTGTATGTGTATGTGTGTTCATGTATTTATAGCTCACATTTAGAGAAATGGTGTGAAGTGCTACATGATAAATGTTCATGGAATGTATTTGGTCACTCATGAGTGTGTCTATGACAAGCTGGGCTTTGAGGACTTGGGCTTATATACCTATTTGGTGACCCAGACTCGTGTGAGCTATGAACAGTTGGCCCAAGTAGGTATGATTAATTCATTTATATATCTATATCCTTTACAGTTTTTCTTCAGAACCAGTACCTAACACAGTGTTCAATGTATAGTATGCATTGAATAAATATTTGTTAAATAAATTCATAAAATGGTTTGTCTTACATGTGATCAATATGGCTCAAATCTCCCATCCCAAGTCTACATTCTGTCATCTCAAGCTCTTAATAACATCTATTATTGTATGTTTTTCATTTTTCTTTTGCATAGTTCTTCTAGGATGAATAGGTGCAATAATTCTGCAAGCTACTGTTCTAGTTACAGCTCTCCTTTTAAACCTTGCGTGAGCTTCTTAACTCAGAAAAAGAAAGGTCAGAGCAGAGACAAAGTCTAGGGCCCTATGACTTTTGATCACAAAATTTCTCCTCCAGTTTCTTAACTTGACTATTTGTACATGTGGTTTGAAGTAAGTCCAGGAAGATATTTATTTCAGTTTGTAATTTGAACCTGAATTTTAGAGTCTTTGTGTTGTGATTTTTATTTTTACTCTCCTTTTTTTTTTTTTCCTGTAAAGGTAAAAAATAGAACATATGAACACATATTTTTGACCTTGTGTAATTGCAATAAAACAATTCAAGCCCATATCTATAAAAGGGCTTTGTCTTTTTTTCCATTTATCTTCTTGGTATATGTAATATATCATCTATTAAGATACCATAATAAACACTGAACCTGCACATATAACCACTGAAAGATTTCAAAGTTCTCTGAATACATCCAAAGAAATTAACTCCTTTCTCAGTGAGAGATGAACAGACAGCTAAATTTTCACTAAGACTATTCAGTCTAACCACCATTCCCATCAACCAATAATTTTTTCACATAAACTTTCTGCCTTAGATCAACCATAATCTTGCCTGGAACAGGGATCACTTTTACATTATAGATAATAATGTTTTACTTTTCTTTATAGTAGGAAAGAGTCAAGTGGGAAATGTACATACCCCATGAAAGTACAGACTTTTTTTTAGTATTTCTCTATATGTCTTTAAGAAAGAAAAAAAATCTACTCACAATTAAAAAAGGGAAAAAATCTTTGGGCTTCTGGTGCTATAGTTCCCAGGAAATAATGACACAGAGAGAATTCTATGAGGAAATGTTAAATTGTGCTTGTATTAACAGCTGGCACAAAATAAAGCAATTACAGTGAAATATTATCTTTTGGGTCATTGGGATCTCAAAACACAATTTAGGTCACAATTATTCTATAATCTTCTTTTCTTAGTGTGTTTAATTTCTAGGGCATGCCTGTACTTCAGTTCCTCAGAAACAGACATTAATTTAGGACTGTTTTCTATTAAAACAATCTTGTAAATACAATAGGTTGATTTGAAATGTCATAAAAATAAGCATAATATAAACTTGTAGAAAGTGTATTGAAATAGATATTTATGTTTTAGAAACCATTTTAAAAATTCATTGAAAATAAATTGATATCCAAATTGCCTTCCAGAATTTATAGATTCAATGAAGACGAAAAGAGGAAAGTGAAATCACATAATCCCTATAGATGTTAAATTCAGACATGGTGGCTTTCTCCTATAATCCCAGTACTTTGTGAGGCAGAGGCCACAGGATTGCTTGAGACAAGTCTGGGCAACATAGCGAGACTCTGTCTCTACGAAAAATTTGAAAAATTAGCTGAGTATGCTAGCCCGTATCTGTAGTCCCAGCTACTTTGGAGGCTGAGGCTGGAGGATTTCTTGACCCCAGGAGTTACTGATTGCACTGAGTTATGATCACACCATGCACTCCGGCCTGGGCGACATAGGGACGAGGCTCTCAAAATATATATTAAAGCCCTGTCACAACCACTGCCTCACTATCCTGTGTTGTATTTCCAGGAGTAAAGTAAAAGGAAGTCAAATTAAAAATCTTGCCATGCTTTGATTTCATATTAAGATCATTTTTTGGAAAAAAGCCTCTAAGAATCAGTGCGTATGAGTTGAAAGCCATGATTTGCATATATTTGTTACAGACAAATGTCTATGTTGTATTACCTCATACATACAAAGTTCAAAGCGAGACAAGCATAATATTTGGTAATAGAAATCAGAGCAGTAACCTTGTAGGTACATGTATTTGAAAATTACTGACTTGATTTTTACTGCTCCAGAAGTTAGTGTGTATATTTTTTAAATAACAATCCCCCAGAAAAGTAGAACTAGAATTGCTCTTTTTCTTTTGTCTTGCTACTTTATGAAAAGCTTAACTGTTTATAAAGAAACATTGAATTTTGTATAAAATCCTAAATACATTCTGCAATAATGAATACTTCTCTATTTATTTGGTATCATGTATTCACTGTTGATTAGACCCCCATGATTTGGGATGTGTTTAAGAAGATTTGGTTATACATTCAGCAAAATAATAAGTAAATTGTTAGTCATCTCAAAAAAATATATATAGAATTTTTCTTAGAGTGCTATAGACTTGTAATTTATCTCCTTCATATCCAGTAGTATATTTTCTTGATTGTTCAATTTATTTGTCAAATTAACATTAAATTTGAAGCCCTACCTTGTATTGCTACAAAGCATATTATTTTAGCGTGAAATAATTACAATATATTTTTAAAATCTCTTTTACAATTTGTGCCTAATGGAAGAAATGGAAGAACATTTCTAAGAAGCATTTCTTAACATGGAAACATGAGTTTATTCATAAATAATATTGAACTCCTACCATTTTCAATAAAGTAGTCTAAAAATTGTCTTATTGATCAACCTAGCCCAAGAAAAGGGAAAGGGGAGTATTACTGAGATATAAATAGTTTAATAAGCAATAATAGAATTACAAATAAAATTACACATCATTCCCTTTTGGACTATTTTCTTTTTAGGAAGGTCTTTTCAAATTGTGTAAATGCAACATAGTTTAAGGGAAGGCAATTGAACTCCAATACTATAATCCCTCATACATAGAAGTGAGTGTTTCATGAGCTAATATTCCCAGACTAATCAAAATGGATGAGAGTAGTTAATTCACAGAGCCCATTCTAGGCTTTCATAAAATGAAAGTCACATAACTTTCTTATTCATATTTATAGAAAATAGTTTTTCTATTTTTATTATATTTTGTTAGAGCATACAAGTCTCTACTTTGGCATGCTCATGCTTGGTTTTACACATCCTTCTTAGCATGACATGTAATGAAGCAGCAGTTGGGACACCAAGGCCTCTCACCACTTCTATTTCTCTTCTCACTATGAGTGAATGGGCATTATCGGTAGTAGAAATATCAATATGTAAGAACTATTATGTAACTATTTGCGTTAAAAATACTATACTGCCTAGTTTCTGTCTATACTGGCAATTTGAATGGACTAAATAAAAATAAAGAATGTTTTTTCTATGGATGGCATAGATTTATTTCTATTGTGGTATTTAAAATTTGATGATGTAGATATATGTTAAAGCCCTCTTGTCACTGATTAACAAACAAAAGACACCTTGTCAAGATAATGACAGAAAGTAAGTACAAGTTAAAATCGTAGTAATCTTTACATTCTTTTTTGCCTTGGATCTAAATGTTGTATTATATTGACAGATCTGGGGAATTTTAGCGGCCGGACAAGAAGCGCCGTCTCTGTGAGGGAAGGCCAGGGTGTCGTTCTGATGTGCTCTCCTCCACCACACTCACCAGGTACAGTGGGATCCCATTCTTTGCTGCTGCTGCTCTCTTTTGCTATGTGTTTATTCTTTCAGACAGTATATTGATGGGAGAACATTGCAGGTGAAATGTGCATGGTTTCCTTGACATATATCAGAGTGCCAGATGAGTAATTCAAGATCACGTACTCTAAATACCATTAGATGGGATGCTGAACTCCAATGATAAGATTGTTTTATTGCCATTCTAACTGTTGACTGTCATTGTTATGCCTCTGTCTGCCATCAGTGAAGAATATATTGCCTGGAGCACAAGGGAGGTGATAAACTGAGAGAATGAAACTTTTCAAAATAGTTTGGAGTATCAGAGTTGGGTTACCTGAATACCAACATGCATCTTGTTTCAAAAGAAAAACTGGACACTTAGTTGTTTATGGTGCTCTTTGCTACACTGGAATTAGAACTTCTAAGCAATGCTTTTTTTTTTTTTTGAGTTTCAAACAAAACTACAATTTAGTTAGTAATTTTTGGCTCTTTGAGGTCTTGTTTATAAAAGTCATGGGTAATTTTTGTGGCTTGAGGAAGCAGAAAACTAAACTGTACTCAGATTAATTATACGTACTTCTGCCAGCTCACACCTAATTATATCCATTTTGTTTGAGTTTTATAATTTGAGATGAGAACACCTTTGGAACTTAGTATAGCTTTACCATAGTATAAGTTAAGAGTGACCAGCATCAGTTAAAGAGAAAGAGAAAGAGCACAAGGAAGAACCAAGGAATGAAGGCCTTAGTTAACAACTGGTAACAGAATTGAAGGTCTTGGTATCTCAGTAATTTTTTCTTCTTTAATTAGAGTGATGGCCATATTTGTTTCTAGGTTATATTACCAGTGTAGTAATGGAGCCCAATTTGGCTCTACTGTACATATTTTTTAAATAATAAAATGGCCTACATTGATTTTCTTAAGGCTTCTTTATCTTTATCTGATCCCCCTTCTATATTTTTAATTGAAAGGAAAGTATGCTGCATATCAACAGGAACATATTTTTGAAAACATTTTTATTTGAAACTCAGATAATAATTACAGTTAGGAATAATTGTTGAGTTATACCCCTCCAATTCCTGTACATCAATCCAGTTACTCCAGTCTTTCTGTAAAAAGTTTGGGGACTTCACAGTAAACATATCTAGTCTTACCTGTATCTAAATCCAGATTTAGGTTCTTTCAAAACATCTGTTTTAATTTTTTTAATGGATAACACAAAAATTTATATTACATTTAGGGAAATTGTATGGCATTGATATAGATCATGTCTCATATTGGTTATTAAACAGATTTCATCCAAAGGGGGTATTAGTTGAATAATTGTTAGAGATTACAAAAAAGGGAAAAAGAAGAGGAAGGAGAAAGAGAATATAACAGGCTTTATAGAGGATGAATGAATCCATCACTAGACTGACAGGAGTTAACAACATAAAGTGACCCCTGTGAGAAAATAAGCAAGGTATTCTGAGATATGATCTCATTTTAAGGCTGTTGGAATGTGTATTTTTAAATAAAGTGAAATGGAAAAGAATAATATAGAAATCAAAACTGCAGGAATACACTTAAATAAATTATCCAATTTGCAGAGAAGACCATATACAGATTTATGGTGGGAGAATATAGTACAATATAGTAAGATAAGCATAAGATAAGAATAGGCACTAATGACTGATTAAATAAATAATAATGTGATCTCTGATTGAGATCAATATATGTAAATGACTGTTCAGTCGTCGTGTTTTACAACCGAACTCATCCTCTTGACCAAGGCCAACTTGATATGTTATTACCAACAGTTGCAATCTCTCAATTGCCACATTTACAAGCTTCCTTTTTTTCTGAACAGCATCCACTATCTTCTACTCACTCCTTTTGTACCCTGATTCCAGAAGTCCTTTAATGTCATGGAAATGTGCAAATCATTGATCCTACCCCATTTTCATTCTACTCCACCTCCTTTGATTCTCACTTTTCTCATTCAGTTATTGTCATATTCTTTTATACAGCTTCAATTTTGTCATCTCTCTTTTGCTTTCTCACAATGACATTCTAATTTGCAAAACCCTAATCACGATATAGATCCAACTCTTAGCCTACTGCATATATGAGTCTATTCAGGTTAATATTATTGTTAAATAATCCCCAAAACCAAAGCACACACAGAAAACAAACAAAAACCAGTTATGCAGACTGCTGTCAATTTAAAAGAAAAATGATGAACTTCACATGCATCTTAATATTACCGAGAATTTTTTTAAAAACCTATTATTTTTACTATAGTCAAATGTTGTATGTGTCTTCCCCAGCTCACACACAGGCGATAAACATGCATCCTATTACGTTGTGAAAGAGAAAGCAATTAGAAGATAACCTCCCCAAGCCCTCATCACCAAGTCACACAGCAATTAGCATTTGTAGCCATACACTCTGACTTCCCATTTTTTAGTATATGGTACAGTATAGCATAGTGTGGTATAGTATAGTATAGGTCAGATACAAAAGAATTTCCTTTTCAAAGGTTTGGCTTATTCAGAGTCCGTGTTCTTCGTTCCCTACTTCCAAGGCCAAACTAACTTCCTTATCTTTTGTTCCTCCCTATTTTAATTTCAGTAAACAACTTCCCCACCCGTCCTTATCTACAGAGCCCACATTTGCTACCCACTCTGTAAATTACCCCTCCCATCGCAACTGCTTTTCCCACTGAAACTGCCCTTCCTGCAAGTGTAACCACATTCCTGCATCTTTCAAGTTAGTCAATCAGGTTCAGTTTAGATTGTGCGGTCCAACTCCAGCCAGTGGAGGCAGGACACAGTAGCAGGGACAAGCTGCGTTAAGGATAAAAACCCCTTCCCTCCTTTGTTCGGTGTGCTCTCGTGACCAGACTTGTGAGCAACATTCTTCTGCAAAAGTAAATTTTGCCTTGCTGAGAAATCCTTTCTTTATATTCTCTTTTTTTTTTTTTATTATTATTATACTTTAAGTTCTAGGGTATATGCGCATAACGTGCAGGTTTGTTACATATGTATACTTGTGCCATGTTGCTGTGCTGCACCCATCAACTCGTCATTTACATCAGGTATAAATCCTATGCAATCCCTCCCTCCTCCCCCCTCCTCATAATAGGCCCCAGTGTGTGATGTCCTCCTTCCCGAGTCCAAGTGATTTCATTGTTCAGTTCCCACCTATGAGTGAGAACATCCAGTGTTTGGTTTTCTGTTCTTGTGATAGTTTGCTAAGAATGATGGTTTCCAGCTGCATCCATGTCCCTACAAAGGACACAAACTCATCCTTTTTGATGGCTGCATAGTATTCCATGGTGTATATGTGCCACATTTTCTTAATCCAATCTGTCACTGATGGACATTTGGGTTGATTCCAAGTCTTTGCTATTGTGAATAGTGCCGCAATGAACGTACGTGTGCATGTGTCTTTATAGCAGCATGATTTATAATCCTTTGGGTATATCCCCAGTAATGGGATGGCTGGGTCACTCCAAGCTTTACTTCTAAGAGTATAGTATAGCATATACATTGCTGCAGTTCTAAGACTAATCCCTCAACTTGTGTGTGCTGTAGTTCATCTTTTTTTGCCTACTTTAAGAAATTGTTTCAGCAGTACCCCTTCTTCTGCATTTGTATCAGAGATTGATTCCTCTTCTGGAGTAGTCCCATCAACATGGAGACCTGCTATTCTTGCCTCCATATAAAACTAAAACAAAGTAAAATTCCCTTGTCCAATGCCCTCTTCATTCAGCTACTACATGATTTTTGCTTTCCCTTTACAGTAATATTTCAAAAACTTTCTTTTTATACTGTATCCAATTCCATTCCTCTTAGTCAGTGTGTTTCTCTCTCTTCCCCCTCTTTTTGTCTCTACTCTCTTTCTCTTTTTAACAGATTCATTGACACGCATTTTTTAATCCCATAAAATTCACCCATTTTACGTATACAGTTCAATGAGTTTTAGTACATTTATATAATTGTGTCTTCATCACCAAAACTCAAAAGATACTTCTATCATTTCAAAAAGTCATTCAGTCCCTCTCCTACTCATGTCCCTGGGCAATTTTTGCTATGCTTTCTTTCTCTATAGTTTTGACTTTTCTAGAAAATTTATTTTATTTAAGACATCTTTTTGCCATGTTACTCAGTCTGGTCTCGAACTCCTAGGCTTAAGTGATCCTCTCACCTGTAATCCCAAAGTGCTGGGATTATAGACATGAGCCACTGGGCCCAACCAGAAATTTCATTTTAATGCAATCATACAATCTGCAGTCTATGTATGCACATCTGTGGGTGTTTGGTTTCTTTTACTTGGCAGAATCTGTCTGAGATTCATCTATATCATGGAATGTATCAATAGTTTATTGCTTTATATTGTTGAATAGTATTTCATTTTAAGGACACATTCCATTTTGTGTATCCATTTGGATTATTTTCAGTTCTCATGTGGGTCACTTCTTTCTCCACAAAACACTATTTTCACTTAGCTTAAAAGATTCCTCACTCTTGATATTCCTCCACTCTTTCTTCTTAATCTCCTTTGCTGATTTGTCTCATCTCCTCAAACTCTTAATTTTATGGTCCCCCAAGTGTCAGTACTATAACTTCTTATTTCCTTAATAAACTCACACTTTGTTAGTTTTCACCTGATAATAAAGATTTAAATGTCTAAGTAGCTAAAATCTCCCTAACATACATCTCTATCCCAGACTCAGGCTTGTATGTATATCCAACTCCTGTCAGTATTTTAATTTAGTTGGCTAATAGGCACTTCACTCTTAACCATATCTAAATCTGAACTCCTGTTTCTTTCTTCCCCAAACCTTCTCTAGCTACAGTCTTTTCCACCTCTATTAATATAAATTTCATTCCTTACATCAGGCCTCAGGCCATTCTTCACTTCTCACTTTCTCTAAACCCCACATACAAACCATTGGTAATTTTATTGGTGTCAGCCCACTTTCTGGTCCATAGACAAGAACTT